GCACCTGAGTGCTTGGCTTGCTTTTAAGTTAATTGCTCGACTGTATTTTCTAAATTAAAGTTGTTGCTGCACCTTTACGCGAGCCGTTATTAAGGGTTTTACACGGGGACTATTACGCGACAAGGTATTCCTTTTTCTTCTTCTGCTCGTTTCTAACGAGTAATTTGTAAGTTTCTCTCCAAAATAATCTGCAATTTTGATCACTTTTTGTTTATCATTGCGAAACGTAAACTTGTGTATTTAAATGTCGCTGTGAAATTTTGTTTATCGACGTTCAAGAGCAATACTGGTAACTTTATTCCGGATGGCGTAGAAATCGTGAAACAAATTTTTAAATTTAGAAATCGATACAAAATATCAAAGGTTCAAAAATTTTTGTTACCTACACTGTTTTTCTTGCATATTATTACGCCACACTCCCTATAAATAACTTATTTTTAGATAAAGTGTATCAAGCTTTTATTACAAGCTTTTCTGTACAAAGGTGTTCAATTTATTATTAGTGTTCTAGCGATTATACGCAGCTTATTTTAACATTTTATTTAACTCGTATCTCTGAAAAAAGAAAGAAAACTAAACCGTGCAGGAAGAACGCCAGTAGAGTGCACTCGTTTAATCAACGAGCTTATATCGAGACGGATTTATTAGAGCTAAACATCAAATAACGAGTTGAAACGTGGTTTTATATCGCAAGTAGATTCGTTGTTAAATCGCAGCTATTTACATTCTCCGAGTGGTGAATTGAGCATTACTTTGTAAAGTGACTGCCGAATGTTTGCATAATTTCTGATGATAATCGGGCTTGAGTAAAGAGTTACTTTACGCTGTTGCTAAATCCTTAAAAACTATATATTCCACGATAAATGTGGATTTCATTAATGAATATCGGTTCGATGAATCGCGATATTAACAACACCGATGAATATTGATGATTCAAATATCGTCGCTACTGAATAATCGAGGTCGTACAGAGTTATTCGGCGAAAAAATTCGATATACAACAGGCGGTGACTGAAAAAAAATCTGATTTCCGGTACGAAATTTTCGGAGAATCGCGATTTTTCGGGTGAAATTTTGTCATCGAACGACAAAAATGCACTACAGAAAAGGTTGAAATTTTGCTAAAGATCGTAGAAGCATTCGGTTATAATTAACGCTCACACGAATGATTGAACTTATAGCTCGCGTGTTACGCGCGTATACAGGATACAACGTCGATTACTGTTGAATCGAACATTGATATACGCATGGCTTCAGTACCACGCGAATACCAATACTCATTGCTATTGATGAATATCGATTTCCACGTCTGCGTTGTTCGCTTGTTGAATAATGTTGCCTAACAGGATCCTGCTAGAGCGCGTTTGTGTGATGTTCGAGGAACTGTCAGAATTCGAAACGGTGGCTTCGTTAATTTTATGTATTTAGTTAGGTTAATTGTATCGGTGATAATGCGTCGTACTGTTGAAATGTCGTAAATTTCGATACGCTGGAAGACGCGTTGAGAAGCGAGATACTATGAGTGTACGCTTAAGGTCTTTGGGTCAATAATGACCCAAAGGGTTCTTGGGTCTATTTGTAATCATTTTTGTTAGCAGCACGTTGAGTGAACCTGGACAATAAACTTCGAATATAATGTTAAGGGAACATAAACTTGATAACAGTTGTTTAAAAAAATAAGAAGGCGGTGGGTCAAAACTGACCCGAAGACCGTACTAGGGTTAATTTATCAATGAAACTTTGATATTTGAATTTAAGATATTAACGAAACTTTGGTATATTGTAGTACTGGAAAAAATATTCGACACGTATTTTTTTGATCGACAATCGTTCACACTGAAGGGGTAAAAATCGCCCTCAAAGAAGAGGGTAATAAATTATTTATTATTTTTTATTTTTCGAATTTGTTCTTGATAAAATACCAAATTCGTGGAATTACACTGTTCTTCTATCTGTAATATTCTATTTACAGTGCAATTTTCACCCTTTCACTGTAACGATTATTGAAATATACCAAAGTTTATAGAAGAATGAAAATGAATTCGAATGGAATTAAATAGAATCTTATTTTTCCATATTTCCGAACAAGTCGGACAATCGAATTCGTTGTACGAATAAATTTCATCTTTTCCGTTCTGTCCACGAAACGCTTATAAACTGTCCCGTTCAATTTTTCCAATATATTCCAAATATTCGGTATTGAAAATTTCTTCAACGTACAACGTCTATCTGCCGAAGATTCGTAAAAAAAAAACTTGAGAAAATATCGAAATAGCGTTATCTACATAAAATTCTACGTAATGTCTGAACTTTTTCATCCGAGTCGAAAAAATTGACGCGCGACGTTTATTCGCATTTTTCACCGTTCGTTCAACAAAAATTTCAATTTCATCGGCAATCGTCGGGACGGCAAAAAGTCTGGTCTCTCGAAATTCTGGTCCACCAAAGAAGCCCCTGTAGAGTGAGTCAGCTTTGAACGTGGAAGTCGATCGTTTCCCTAATCGAGGCCACAAAAAAGACTCGAGTCTCTTCCCTTTATGAGCTTTTTCTATCGGCTGTTTTCTCATGGAGGACCGTCGATATCGAGGAACCATTTGTAACGTGTATCAAATAACGATCTGTCTCGGTATCGAGGTTGAATATCGGTTTTCAACACGTACGAACGATGATATAATATTGCAATTATTTGCAGGAACCTATCGATCGATCGCGTAATTTTGTGGTTCGCATGTTCTTCCTTACACTTTTTCTTTTATCTTAACTTTATTTAGAAATACAGCGACTCGAATGCAGTCACTTCGAGTATCAATTCTAACGTTGAAAATATCGAGTGTGATGTATTAATAATTCAGTTCTCTTTTAATTGTTTCTTTAATACAAATTTTATGAATTCTTGTTTTGGAAATTTTCAAGTTTCTGCACCTTGAATTTAAAATTTTTGCCGACTCTGAAATTTTCAATATTAAGTATGTTAGCTCTAAATTTTTGCATTTCGTATTTTAAACGTACAAATATCACGAACGTAAAAATGGTTCGTTGAATTTTTCATTTAATTCGTTCATTTTCCCTTCGTTCCTTTTCGTTTTCCCGAGAGGATGGCATTTTTCGCGAAGTGAACAAGTATGCGAGGTTTCTCATGCTTCATTCAACGTAGCAGATAAGTATTTTTGACATAGTTAGGAGATGTGGATTATGCGAACCGAGTCACTCAAAACTATCAAGTTTGATTTACATCGATATTATTACTTCGTGGGGAAAGAGGGACGCGTTAAAAATGCATGCTTTTAAAGGGGATGCAAAATGGGTCTACACTTCATCTGAACGAAAGCTTTCCGAGCGACGATATTTTCAACGTCGTCTCTTGAAAAAACAGAAACGTTGAAAAACAAAATTATTATAAAAGAAGATGATAAAAAGAAAAAGTCGCGTCGAAACAATTTCAGAATTCAATTAAAACAATCTTCCTTCATTCGTTATTTATAGAAAACAATCTTAAACGAGTAAAACACCGTAAAATTTTTATTTAGTTATTAATACCGTTAAACATTTTAAAGATTGCAGTCTTTTTTACTCTTCAGAAATAATCATAAATATCAGTTTTCAACTTGATAAAATTCTTATTACACAGTCATTTTGAACTAACCAAATGCAATTATCTGAAAGAGCATAGCAAATTATAGGACTTATTTAATTTGGCAAACATTTTTATCCACCGCTGCCTTTTCTTCCTCTTAATCAAATAATTTCAGTTTAATGAACTGCTTTCCAGATGGACCAAAGGATACAAAGCATTTGGATTTCTATTCAAATTCTGTTGTATCTGCGTTTTATTAAAAGCTCCGCTCAAAGAGAGAGAGAGAGACGGTGGCTTTCGTTATTTATTGTACGCGTGCGGTATAACTAACAGTTCGTTCTTTCAGCGTAGTTATTTTACACGATTTTTCTTTTATTTTCTGCCGCGTTTGAATCGCGTTTGAACCCGGTTCCGCGGTCGGTTTCATAAATAATTATAGATTTTTTATTCTGACGCACTCGAGCTAGAAGATTTAATTAAAAAAATATTAAAACGCTATAATTAAATCCATCCCGTAAATAAATTTTTTTCACGGCGTGAAAACGATCGTTACCTGCAGATTTTTATCGATAATGGACGGGACATCTCTTCCTTGCCTCAAATTAACCAGTTTTCGTTTCGTTGAAAGGTATCTGTGTGTGTGTATTAACGAGACGTTGAAAATAATTTCGCCTGGATAATTCGCGCGTTATTTCAAGCTCGCGTTAAAATACAGCTGCAACTTTTGGAAATGGAAAAATCGCGATTTTACGGGCAAACGAGGAAAATATTATGCCTCTGGTTTGCACGTTTTCCTTGAGTTTAATTCACAAAAATATCAGTGTGATAAAATTGCGAATGAAGAGTGAGATTGTATCGTATATGATACATTCTTGTTGAAAGTTAAGAATATTATTATTAATTTTTTAATAATATTATTTTCTGATTGTAATATTTATTATAATTATAATTTTCTGATTTAAAGGAAGTTTATTTTGTCTGTGCAAAAAGTGTGCAGAATTTTGGAAATCTGTCCAAATTTTCTTATTATTTCTCTTTTCTGATTGTAATCTTGATTATAATTATAATTTTCTGATTTAAAGGAAGTTTATTTTGTCTGTGCAAAAAGTGTGCAGAATTTTGGAAATCTGTCCAAATTTTCTTATTATTTCTCTTCTGACTACTGTTTACTACTTTTCAGAAAAATACAGTAGTTTTTGACTAGTATCTTGTTAAATTTTATGTTAAATAGCTGTTAATTTTCAGTGATCAGATTTTTTAAATAAATTCTTATGCACTTAAAAATGTTGTAACCAATTAATTCCATTAATTTCACATTTTAATCAATTTATCTGCTGTGTCAACGAAATGTTGAATATTTTTTATACAGTAGCACTTCCTGAAGCCTGTGACAGGTCTAACTAATGATAACGATTCGATGTTTCAGGTAGTACTCCAGACTTATTGCCAGCTCTTGTTCTCATTCACGGTGATTCCTATTCTTGGGGCGCTGGAAATTCTTTCGACGGCACCGCGTTAGCTGCTTACGGTCGTCTTATCGTCGTCTCCATTAATTTTCGTCTCGGCGTACTCGGTGAGTATTCTTTTATTGCATTCACACGAACATCCATAAACTCGGCGAGAAAGATAAACACGATGGATCATTTGTGAAAATGTCAGAATCGTAGGTGTTCGATTTCGACTTTGACGGGAGTCAGCGTTGTGGAAAACAGGGAAGTACAAAGGAATTCAATTTTAGAATGGCGGTGGACAAAATGTTGCATGAAGATTTTAATAGCGCCCACACGATTTACTTAGGCGAAGATAGCGTAAATTTCGTGCTTCGCCGAGCGTTTTTTTTCTACTTTTATTTTCGCTATTTATACTCTGGATCTGGTAGAGGCACGTGGAGAATTTTTATTTATCTGTTTTGAATAGTAAATTGAAAAATTATTCCCTTTATAATTTCTATGACTTGAGAGCAATTGCGATTTTGAGGATAATTAGATCGCTAAAAGAACCTAGTAACAATTTTATTAACTTTCAATTGAGATGCATTTTTAAATTCAATTTTTCAAATTGCGATATTTCAAAAATTTCCAGTTTAAACGATTCGTTAAATATTCGTAAAACAAGAAATATTATTTTTCTTTAAACAGTAAACAGAAAAATGATTTTTCCTTTTTTCGCAATTTCCTTTCCCGCGTGAAATTCCGATTTAACGTGTAAACTTGAACGTGAAGAGTGCAGCGACGTACGATTTCAATGTGCGACAGTAACTACTGAATATTAAGTATCGCGACGTGAAGGAGCTTACTTGGAAATGCATAAAAGCGAGATTTCAATCGCGCACAGTGTCGAGATGTTCCGCGAATAAAGTCTTGGAAAGTTCTCGCTCGTTACGGTTGATTTTATTCCCCCGCTCTTTGTTGAAAAGGAGATGACGTTCTCGTTTGTCTTATTCCCTGCTGCATCCCAGAGCAACAACACCAGCAATACCGCCAGCAACTGCAACTTCTTTCTCAACTTATGTACATTGAATCCGTAAGAATGCTCTCAAGTTTGAAGTCGGTCAGTGGCCAGTATGTTCTCGACTTGCAATCGTTAATCAATGCAGAACAACTTCTGTATTCTTCCTGCAGGGAAAAAAAAAATAGAAGTACGCTGAAAAGAGTAGATCTCTGTGAATTCTTAACGAGAAGAATAGCTTTTCGAAACTTCTTCTTTGGACTTCTTATCGGGATAATTATTTTATAATCTTCTCTGAAACCTTCAGCAAGATTTGTAACTTCTTTTTTGTGAAGTATAAAAAAACAGTAAAAATAGTAGATAAAATATTTTTTTTTTTTCTCA